CCCCCCCCCGGCCATGGCGGTTGTTGCTGCCGCTGCCTTGTTCTTGGAGGAAACTTGAACAGCGTGGAGGGTGAGAGGTAGATATAAAGAGTAGCATAGCGGGGCTTGCTTTAAATTTAAGAAGGAGGAGACCGAGGACCGAGCATTGATTTGGGGAGGAACAGGACAAGGAATTGTTCAACCGTGGGAGGCTATTAACGAGACTTGGGCCAATGAAGCGTGGAGGGGAGTGGTGGAAGCCTGCCCCAGTGAAGGTCTTATCTGCAGACTTTGACAGTGAACCCTTCCCACTTCCCAGGGTTGATCAAGGGTGCCCAGTGCTGCCGTGGCCTGACCCAGGTAAAGTGCGCGCCACTCAAATCATAATAACAAATAAATTGTGGTTTGAAAAGGTAGCAAGAACTTCTATAGTCAAATGGCATATAGAGTAAATGGACATCCCATCCAACGGGTGAGGCTGAAATATATACATATATGGACGGGTGATGTTGAGTTCAAAACCTGAACGTGACCAATTTTAACATTCAAAATGAATTTATTAAGATTTCAATGGTGTTTTTTAAGATTTTAATTTTCTGATCATTGCAAAATATAATAACAATTATTTTTTAAAAATATCTTTTACTCAAAAATAAATTAAATTAAAATATTTTATTTTTAAAAAAAGTTATTTTTAATATGAATGCATCAAAATAATTAAAAAAATTAAAGAAAAAAATATTTTTTTAAATAAAATACCGTTTGCAAGACGTTTCCAAGATGTAAATAAAAACTGATGCTATAAACAGCAGATCATATGCGCCGCAGCTAATAACCTGTCGCTCTTTCAAAAGACAATGGGAGGCGTACACTCATTCACAATAGAAGAAGAAGAAGAAGAAGAAGAAGAAGAAGCTAGGCCCCTCGCGCACAACCCTAGCCTGCTGCGGCTAGCAGGGTCTCACGTAACGCGGGTTTGAATTATAATTTTTATGTATTTTTTATTTAGAAATATATAAAAATAATTTTTTTATTTTTATTTAAAATTATTAATTTAAAATAAAAATATAAAAAATTCATTTTTTAAAAACACTTTAAAATTAAAAATAAACAAGATTACTGCACATAGAAAGACAAATCTACACTATGATACAAGGAAAAACAGCTTCAGTTTT